CCTGAGAGCTGGCATTTGAACCCAAGTGTTCTGACATGCAAATCTGAGCCAGATTTCCAAAGGGACACACAGGAATTAAATTTCAAATCTCAAGTGAGGTAAGTGTGAACTGATGAAGTCAGGAAACCTACAGAAAGCTAGTTGGCTTAGGTCGTAAACATCAGTTCCCTTAGTTGATTTTCCAGATAAAACTTTGGTTTTAAGCTTCCTAAGAATTACTCGAAACAACTTTAACCTACAAATGCCCTTAGTCTCAGATCTCTTTGGAGCTTCTTCAAGTTGCGGATGACAAGGGCAGCTAATGAAAGCATTTGCATGGTTTAAAGTTCAATACTGGAGGAAGGACAGATGTTTAAAGTCGATCTGTTACCAGCTCAAAGATTCCTGACCCCTCCATTCCTCAGGATAGAAATCCAGGGAGGAGGCAAAGCAGATTCGGAAGGGAAGAGTGTGTTCAAAACAAAGTAAAGAAGCTGGGGCACCAAATGAGCACATACTGGAAGGGAAGCTGCGTGGCTCCCTAGTTACCGCTGTGGTCTGGCTACCTTAAATGGTCTCAGCCTTCCTTCTCCTCCTTTGGTGGGCTTGACTTGACTTGCGCAAGCGCAGGGCAGATTCCTTTGTCCTTCAGGTTTCCCATGGTGAGCAGGCACTTGGTTTGCACAGCCTTCGAGTGTATTTCTTTGTTTGGTTCCTTATGGCCAGTGGGGTCTTATCTCTGTAGGCATAGGAGAGCTACGTGCAAGAGGGGACCCAAAGAAGCACAGAAGTTAGTTATTAAAAAAGTGTATCTATTCTTATACGGTTAAACTTCAGTCACCTTCAAAGTGCTCTTCACATGATGCAATACACGCACTGAGACCTTTTTTTTACCATTGCTCAAAACAGTTTTTGAACTTGTCAATTTTTATGGCTTTTACTGCTCATGCCAGTTTTTGTTTGCCTCTTCCACATCAACAAAAAGTTTCTCTTTGAGGGTGTTTTTCATCCAGGAAAACAAAAAAAAAACTTGCTCGGGGCAAAATCAGGTGAATAGGGAGGGTGGAGCACGGGAGGTGAGGAGAGGTCATGACATTTTGAGTCAAAAACGGCTGAACGCTCAGCACAGTGTGGGCAGGTACATTCACAAATCACCCATCATGAAGTGGGCAATCTCACTGAAAGAGTCTTCAAAACAAACTGAAGCTGAACGAAGCCTCTCACGACAGAGCCAGTTGGTACAGTGATACAGATGGGTTCCTGGAACACTCACGTAGTAGGGGAAGCCTCTACTACCATGGGCCAGCCCTCCAGGAAATAATTCTGGTTTTGGGGGGTCCCCCCTCATACTCTAACCTGGCACCTGTTTTGTTAGCATTTTTCTGGTTCCAGCCAGGAATGTGTCTTTTTTCAGGTCTGACTCAGGGTTCAGCGGCCCTCCTATAAATCAAATTTCTATTTGGCACTGCTGGGAGCAGAGCGTGGGGCTAGATGCCACAGGTACTCCCCAAGATCAGTGACATTATTCTTGTGCTGGGTGCAGCCAGATGTAATTGGAAAAGGGCCCTAAGGTTGGAAATGAGGCAAACAAACCCAAACTCATCTCCCAGTTCTGAGTGACTCCAGGCGAGTCAGTTAGTAAAAGGGGGAAAAAAAGAGTGTTAGTTTATCAGATTATCATGAGGTGCGTTGGAGATACCAGGGCACTTTGTATGGTGGCTGACACGGTGAGAAGTCTACAGCATAAATCCCTGACTCTCTGCTTGTGCCTCGTCCTCTCTCAGCTTGAGTCTCTGAGTTTAGCAAAAGCCCATAGAAATGAAACAAAACAGTCCCTGGGGAGGGGGCGGGGAAGGGAAGTGCTCTCGTGTGAAGCCGATAAAGGGGATCCCATGAGCAAGAAGGGAAGGAAGGCTGAGCTTCAAATTTCTAGAATCGGGTTGCCAAGATTTAATATAATTTTAAAAATGGAAATAAAGTCAACTTATATATCTGTATATAATGGTTTTTAAAAAAAATAATGGGTAACATCATTCTATAAAAGAGGTACAATTTTAAAGATAATACGCCTTTAGAGACACAGGGTCTTGATTATGTTTGGGAGAACTCAAGCTTCAGTCCAATTTCACCCCTAAATAGTATTAAGGCTTATAATATTTAAGAACTGCTGGGTTGAGTAGTGTCCATAGAGGAAAAAAGGCAAGGAGACAGAGAGGCAAAGAACACAAGGGATTTGAGAATTGACTGAAAGGAGAGACTTATGGATAACTTCAAGATTTTTTATTTGATAAGCTATGGTAGCATTAGCCCATCAGGGGCCGTTTAAAAATCTTGACGTACTTGAAGCATCCTAGGCTCCTTAAATCAGAATCTTTGAGGGCAGAATCCAGGCATTGGTACTTTTTTTTTACAACAGCCCATGTGATTGCAGTACACCAGTAACCTTGTTCTTCAAAATAAGGAAGTCAAGTAGCACATTGAGATGAGGGACAAAGGGGATGAGTATAGTGATTTTGGCTATGTCAAGCTCAAGGTTCCAACAAAGCATCCAGAAGGGAATTAAGAACTGGATCTCAGGAAGGACAGAGCCACTCAAGATTCTGGAGAGCCATTCATGCATTCAATAAACATCCCTTAAGGACCTTTAAGTGCCTGGATATCAAGTCAGCAGATAGGGTTCTATTTCCCGAGGGGCTTATATCCAGGGGGCAGCAAACAGATTTCTAAACAAAGAAGCAAAATAAAGTGTTATGAGCTCTATGACAGAGATCTGTATGTAGGACAAGAAAGGAGGCCTCAGTTCCCTTGGGAGTGGTCAGAAAAGGCTTCATAGAAAAGGGGACAAGAAAAGTCACCCGGAGGGAAATGGTGAAAGAAGAAACGATAGGTCTGGGAACCATGGAGCCACTTCCTTAGGGTCAGTGGGCCAGGGAGGAAAATTCAGCCAGGTGAAGATCATCAGAAATAGCAATCAGAAAGAGGATAAAGTACCCTGAGAGATGATGGGGGAAGGAATGGCTAATGGGAGGGGCATCATACACTAGCCTCCCAGGCAGAGGGTGAGGCTGAGGACGGTTGTTAGATTTGATGATCGCCATCGATATGGAAGTCGGTTTCCACAGAAGGACAGCTGGGGGAGAAAGAGTGGGTGGCATTTGGACATGGAGCCATTGAAAAAAGGATAATGAGAAGGCTAGAGAAAATATTGTGGGGAAGTTTGGAGGAGCATATTTAAATATTAAAATAGAGAGGAGGTGCCTGGAGTGGGAAGAATTTGGGTCTCAGGGTTAAGCTATTGTGTTGTGTTCCTCCAACCTGGAGCTAGAAGACCTCCTCGCTTCCCCTGCTCTGCCTATCTTGGTTTCCCCCTTCTCTCTCATCTCTAAGGTGATGGGGATAGAGACTTTGATTTCTAAGGTCATGTCCAGATCTGAAAATCCAGGAGATTTAGTAGGAAGAGCAAAATTAAATGAGAGGATAAAACTGCATGACCCGCATAAAAACTGGTAACATGTCAACTTTGTCTTCTGGACATGTGTACTTGGCATGTTCAGTCACCTCACTCCCCAGGCACGTATGTGCCCTGGAGCCCACTTATTTCAAAGTATGAACTAACCAAGGGTACCACCTACTATCTACACCTCGGCATGGAGAGGTGCACAGTACAAAGGTCCAAGTCACCGCTTCCAGAATCAGATAGTCCTCACTAGCCAGGTAACTAGGTAAATAATTATATACTTTGGCTTTTCTAAACTGTAAAATAATACCATCAAACAGCTACTCACCCTGGATAAACAGGTGGAGAGAATATTAGTTATAGGTAGGACCAATCCTATTATGAGAAATACTATCACAACAAAAATATCTTATTGTGTATTTTAGAATCCTTGATATTGGCAGGGGCAGAGAGGGGAGCCCCTTAGTGTGTATTGCTATTGGCTTTGACTTCTATTTTAAGATATGTAAGACTAAAGACATAAATTGGCCTAAGCCCACTTTGATCTCTCTTGTCACCATTTCCAGGATGAAAGAAGGGCTTGTGGAATTGAAGCCAAGTTGACAGCAGAAAGCAAGGTTTAGACGTGGGGGGCTGGGGCTGGGGCTGGGGGAGGGGATTCTCATCCTGTGGCTAATTGCCGTCACCCGGAGACACCCCACTCTAGCAGGCTCTGGCATCGCTGGAGATTAACATCGGTAATCAGATGTTGCGCACAGAAAAAGGAAATAAATTCCGCTCATGCAAGGGCAGCTGGAAAGGGGTTGGACAGCTTAAGCTAGGATTTACATTCCAAAGCAGTCTGGAGGCCAAACAGTCCACGCCTGAGAAGAGGAAAGCCCCTTCCTCATCTCAGCCAGTGGCAGACAACTGCTCCCAGGGGGCAGGGTGAGGAACCGAGAGCTTGCTAGGCTGCGACTTGTGGTCCCTCAGGAAACAAGAGCAAGGCCAAGGACACCAGCTGCAGGAAGGCCCCTAAATTCAAAGCCAATCCATCACCTTCTGCTTTAAAGGGCAAGAGGCACACCTCCTATCTATGATGTGTGGGGCGAGGGTGGGAGTAAATATTTGTAGTTTACTCAATTCATGCCATGATTAAATATGTATTTTGTGGGTGCCAGTAACTGACCTAAGCGTTTTATGTCCCTAATTCTAATAATAATCCTGAGGTTTGTCTAATTAACCCCCTATTTCTTTAGCTACAAAGGGGAGCAAAAGGGACAGAGAAAAAGCAGCAATTTGCCCAGTAGGCGGCGGGATCAGAGCTGGGATCTCTAATTCGCAGGCTGTGGCTCCTGGGCCCACCCCCCGGCTCTGCCAGGGCGAGAATCCCATCTGGGTCGGGAGCGGGAGCCCCGCGTCCTTTCTAGCGCGTGGGGAGCACCTCCCATTGGTCCCACCTGGACCTGACAGTGCCTCCTCGCAGGTCCCGCAGGGCGCGCTGCAGGTGCGCGGCCGCCCGGGAGCCACGCCCTCGAGTCCCCGCCTCCGCTCCCCCGCCTGGAACCGCGCGCCCCGCAGCGGCCGGGCAGATCGCCCAGCCTCCGCCCGGAGTCTGGGCTGGGAAGCGTTCGGGCGAAGAGGAGGAGCCAGGGACACCGTGCGGGTGGAGTCGGGAGCTCGAGAACCCGGGAGGCGTTTTGCCTGCACCAGGCTCTCCACGGCTACCATGGCGTTTGGAAAGAGTCACCGGGATCCCTACGCGACCTCCGTGGGCCACCTTATAGGTAAAGAAGCGCGGGGGGAAGACGCCTGGGCGAGCTTTAGTGACGGGGGTGGGGGGACCCCTCCCCGTTTGACTCTTTCGAGGCCTTGCAGAGGACCGAGTTGGTCCAAGTTTGAAGAAATACTTCCCCTCCCCCTACAACACTCCCAGGGCGCCCGCGTTCTGCCCGGTCCCTTCGAAGCATTTATTGCTGACTCTTTCTAGAATCAGTTCTCAAAAATCTGCTTCCCTGTTTATGCCTCCTGGGAAGTGAAATCAAACAGGTGAGCCACATGTGGGATTCAGGTGTGTAGTGTTCCGTCCTCTCCAAGGGGAGAACTTCAACTTCTCTGCCAGGGTTAGTCCTAAAGTGTGTTCACTCGAAGGGAACAGTGCTGCTATGACCGGTTTACAGGGGAGGACGAGGAGGGTCAAGGAGGTGAAGTGATGCCACCTCACTGTGAGAGGCAGGTCTCTTCAACCAGTTCTCTCTGGCGCCAAGCCCTTACAACCTGAGTTACTTTTCTGGGTAAACAAAGAGCTTGAAAATGCTCCTACCTGGAGTGCAGGAAGTGGGGAGCAGAGAAGCCATCTGGAGTCACCAAAGGCCTCTCGAGACACCGGGGACCACCACACAGGTATCCAACTCCCTTCTCCTGTGGCTGTATCTGGATACTGTCCATAGAAGCCAGTGACTCCATTCTCCCTCTTCTCCCTGATGCCGCTTTTGGGACCCAGGTGCGGCGTCAGTGCTTATGATGCTGAGCAAACATGATAACGTCAGGGAGTTAGTGGGGTGAGGAGGCTCAGATCTGGAGATTTGGGGCAGCAGCTCAGTTAGGTGCCGTGGAACACACCACTTACCGTGGACTTTAGTTTCCGCATCTTTCTAAAATAAAGTGGTGGGAGTAACTATCATTGAGGAGGAATGATTTCTGAGCGGTTGCTGGAAATCTATATCCCTATTGGATATGAAATAAGCTCTGAGCGGAAATGGATTCAGATTGCATTTTCATAGGCTGATTAATTCTTTAATCTGCAAATAAGTACTGCTCGGACCTAAACAAGACAAAGGTAGGACCCTGTCTCAACCCTCAGAGAATGCACGAATTTGGAGGAAAGATAGACACAATTTTGTAGTAACTATAATATGGAACCTTTACAATACAAGGAAAATGTAAAGCCCACCCAAAACTTATGAAAAGGGAGAAATGAAGTCTGCCATTACTTTTTTTTTTAAAGATTTTATAGAGAGGAAAGGAAGGAGAGAAGGAGAGAAATATCAATGTGTGGTTGCCTCTCATGAGTCCCTTGCTGGGAACTGGCCTGCAACCCAGACATGTGCCCTGACTGGGAATCGAACCGCGATTGTATGGTTCGCAGGCCCACGCTCAATCCACTGAGCTACCAGCCAGGGCTGCCATTACTTTTGAAGCGTGAGTAGAAGTTTTCTAGGAAGATGGGAGAAAGCATAGAATGAACAGCAAGGAACATGGCAAAAGGAATAATGGTAGTATGTGCCTAAGAAACACAAGATTAGTCAGGTCTGTCCAACACCAACAAATGCCAAATTCAGAGAGTTCTTTTTCTAGATGGGAAACAGTTTCCCCAAGCAAACTTGTATTCTTTCCTTTTTAATTTTATTCTTCATTCCCCCTAGGCCTTGGTATTTTCATATTGTGGGATCTTCTCCATTCTTGCAGGAAGATGTTAAGCTCATACCGGTTGAGTGTTCCTTTGCCCTTCCCAGACGGCATTGTGTGTTCTTACGGTGGCTCTCTGGAGAGGGAAAAATATCTCAACGTTTACATTGGCCGGGTGCAACCTGGCCAATCAGTATAAGTGCTAGGAGTGACTTTGCTCTAGTGCTAAAGGACACAGACAATTTTAGTAGTTCTGATTTCTTTTTCTTTTCTTTTTAAAAAGATTTTATTTATTTATTTGTAGAGAAGGGAAGGGAAGGAGAAAGACAGGGAGAGAAAGCAATGTGTGGTTGCCTCTCCAGTGCCTCCCACTGGGGACCTGGCCTGCATCCCAGGCATGTGCCCTGGGAATTGAACTGGCCACCCTTTGGTTCACAGGCTGGCACTCACTCCACTGAACCACACCAGCCAGGCTCTGATCTCTTTTTCTTAACACCTCCCCCGCCCCCAGGAGAATTAATGATTTTAAGAAACAAAGTGGCATCAAACTTTGTTTCTTAATCGTATCACATCAAATCATGTACTTCGATTTGAATTTGAATGTTATATGCCTTGCACTGGCTGCATAGCCTTGCATAACTTCCTTAACTTCTCTAAACTTCTGCTTCATCATCCCTGACGGTGGGAGTTTATGCAATGACATAAGCTAAAATATTTAGATGATGCACTTCCCCTTGTTGGTGCCTGCTCGGTAAGTGTCCGTCCTCTGAAAAACAGGCAGGCAGATGGAGATTTAGCTGTCCTTGCAGCCAGGTGTGCCTGCAGTCTTTATTAATAGGTCACTCGTTACTGTTGCTACAACAGCCTTCGGAACGTGGGTTCTGATTGATTCCTGAATTACCGGGAATTGCTCCGAAAAAAAAAAATCTCTTTGCCCTTTGGTAATATAAACCTAATGGTACTTGCTAGCAAACCCCAGGCAGGTTATTTCAGGAAGACCAGACATTTTTCATTCGGCTGTAGCTCAGAGTCAACATACCAGCTTTTTCTTTGCAGAAAAGGCTACATTTGCTGGTGTTCAGACTGAAGACTGGGGCCAGTTCATGCACATTTGTGACGTCATTAACACTGCCAGTGATGGGTGAGTGGGGAGTGTGGTTCTTGCATTTGCCTCTGATAAGAAGCCCGGAACTACAGTGCATTGTGTCTCTCAAGCCCTTTGGTTTTCCTGTTGAGAGAGTGTTTTCACCCCCACCCCCCAACTTAGGTCCCCACTGCCTTTTGAAGACAAGGCAGGTTGAAGTATTAGGAGAGCTGCTTGTTTCAACATGTGCAGTGTCTGAGAATCCATTATAATTATTCTCCTCTTGGCCCTTTCCTTAATAGTTTCAAATTTTGGCTTCAATTCCTTGTTCTTTAAGAAAAAGAAAAACTTTGTAAGAGTGATGTTTTCTTCTTTAGGAATTTCCCCTGCTCCGATTGCTGGTATTTTATGTTATTCTAACTGGGAAATATTAACAAGGAGCCAGTGGACGCCTGAGGCGACCGGTCTCTAGGCAGTGGTCACTGTAACCAGGAAATAATCGTGCTATCTCTTCTTTTTCTCCCAGTCACAAGACAGAATTTTTTCTCTGGAGGCCAACTTGCCCATGTTCATGCTGTGTTCTTAAAGGGCATACTGTCTTTTGTTATACTTTTAAATGGTAGAGAATTGAAGTTTTTTTCAAAAAAAAATTGTTAAGAAGGCCAACTGTTGGGTGCATTTAGTCTGAATTACAGATCGTTACGAGGAATACCGTTCTGTTAATTTGTGTGTATTAAAGTCATAAAGTGATGACAAAAGAGATTTAGTATAGTTTATGTTGATAAAGAAAACATTCCACTTAATTACTGACTCTGTCAATGGGAGGTGCTGATGATTAGTACTCTAAAGTGTTTACGGTTTTTCTTTGTAATTGCATTTAATATATTTGGCTTTTCTGTGAATCTTTTTGTCATTGATGATACTAATTTCTTCACTAATAATGCAAAAGGGGAATCTAAAAGTCAATTTTTTCTTTTAAAACAGTACCTCTATTCTTTTTAATGTCTCCAAGACTTTAATTCTAGATTTTAAATGGGGTTGTTTTAGAAATATAGAAAAAAATCTACATAATATTGTATGTTATAATAGCAGCAATTCCACATAAGCCTGCGTAATATTATGTAATTAGTAACATCTAATGGAAATCTGCCCACGCAAACATAACAAACTTGGAAAGTTAATATATAAAAAGGATAGGTATTTTTTTCAGTTTTATTAAGATATGCATGACATATAACACTGTATAAGTTTAATGGGCACAGCATAATGACCCGACGTACATCTATTGCAAAATGATTACCACAATAAGTTTAGTTGATGCCCCTACCTCATGGTGCTATAACAATTTTTTTCCTTGTAATGAGAACTTTTACAGTCTACTCTCAGCAACTTTCAAATATTGCCTACAGCAGTGTCGGCTGTAGTGACAGTCTCCACGTTGTGGAATACATCCCCATGGCTCGCTTCTCTTGTCACTGGGAATGTGTGCTTTTTGACTGTCACACGGAACATTTGGACCCTCTACTTAGCACTACGTAATTGCTCCTTCTGTAACATGAAATTGCGGCATATCGGAAGTTGACCCAATTGCTCATGTTGCCTACAGGATGCTCAGGAAATACTAATAATCTTCATCAAAATGGGTGGCCTTCATTGGTTTGGGAAATTGCATTTTCTGTATACTGGTCCTGGACCTTGACAGGGACATGGGTGTGTGACTACATTTCACAAGTATTCTAAGGAATATTCTTATGTAGATTTGTATGTGTGTCCATAGTTAAAATTTAATTTTAAGTAAACAGTTTTCAAAACTATATTTACGTGAGTGATACATGAACCTCAGAGAAAAATTGTAAAATGCAGATAAATGTATAATAAAAATCACAAATGACCCCACCACCCAACAAAAAGTATAGTTAACATTTTGGCATATTGATTCATAACACACTTGTTTTGCTATTAACATGGGATGAAATTCCTTCCACGTCTTAATTATTACTCCATTTAATAAGACATTTTGGTTTTTTTTTGTTTTTTTAATATATTTTATTGATTATGCCATTACAGTTGTTCTATTCCCCCCTTCATTCCCCTCCACCCTGCATACCCCTCCCCCACCGTTCCCCTCCTTTAGTTTATGAACACTCAAGTTCTTTAGATTCTATATTTCCCATTCTATTCTTTCCCTCCCCCCTTCTATTTTCTACCTACCGTCTATGCTACTTATTCTCTGTACCTTCTCCCCCCTTCTCCTCCTCCCACTCCCCTGTTGCTACATTTTAAAGAGCCTCAGAGTATTTCTGAATATAGTTTGTGATGAATTATCTGTGCAATCTCACATTGCTGGGTATAAATTTCTAGTTTTTATATAAACAGGGCTACAGTAAGTATGTCATTTGGTGCTCAGGGCGGGTGGCTGGTCTCATCTGCCTGCATGTATGAGGAAGCAGGTGTGAGAGGTGCTGCCCAAGGTCACACAGCGGAGCCACGACCTTGGCCTTCCACTCAGCTATTCCTCCTTTCACAGTGCAGGTTGCTGAGACTCCTTGTCTTCAGCTCTTCCTAAATTGATGGTTACCTTGTATTTACTGCTGTAGGCCCAAAGATGCAGTAAAAGCTTTGAAGAAAAGGATTTCCAAAAACTACAATCATAAAGAAATTGAACTTACTTTGTCAGTAAGTACTTTCATGTTATAATTAAGATGCTAGGATTTTCCAAGCTATAGTCACATTTTAATTCTGGGTAAATATTATGAGATAACTAATAGGTTAGCAGAACATTATTTACAATATGAATTAAAACTGTTTATTGAGAATTGAAGCCTTAAAGAATCAAGAGTGTTTAGTTGATAATAATGGCTTTTAATTCTGTGGAAAGAGTGCCCCTGGAAAATCAGGTTTTCCTGGTCAGGAAATGGGAGCTGGTGGTTAAAGTTATAGGTGCTGAGCTGATCAAAAAGTGTGTGTGTATGTTTCACAGGAGGGAAACTGACATCTTAAAAATGCTTCCCCACTAGCTTTGTATTGCACTTGAACACCTTGGCGGAATTCTGAGGTGCAGGCAGCTCATTAACTTTCAGCCAAGTTCTGCTGCTTGTTCTAACGGGGAGGGGAAAATTCTTTGTTGATTTAAGTAATTCTCCTACGAGCTATATTTTCTGTGAATTGCGCATGGACACTTACTGGACCTGTTACCATTTTCCCCTCATCCTTGGCCATATGACCTCTTCAGTCACTGTGGTGAGTTGCCCTTTTTACTTCGGTGTGATCTGCAAGCCATGCCTGCTGCCTGAGAGTGAGCTCTGTGGCTTTCTGCATGCCTTTGGATCTCAGCCAGCTCCTGGGTACGGCACTAATCAGCCAGCATGACACTGCTCCTAGGGCCCTGGGGAGTATTTATCAAGAGGGCCAGGGGGCAGAGGTAAGCACAGCTCCTGTCTCCTAGTTCCCGGTTACTTGGAGAGGCACTGAATGAGAAGCAGCCTTAATGATGCTTTCACTAGACAAATACCATATGACCTCATTTATAAGTAGAATCTAATGAACCAAATACCTAATGACCAAAATAGAATCAGCGGCTTAGGAACATGGAACAGACTGAGAGGTGTAAGGGGTGCAGGGGGCGGTGGAGACTGGTTGAAAGAGGTTGAAGGGATGAGCCAGAGAAGACGCAGACTCGAGTGATGGACAATGGTGTGGGGACTGACTGTTGGGAGAGCTGGGTCGAGGCAGGCAAAGGGGGGGAATATTGGGATAACTGTGATAGCATAAACAATAAAACATTTTTTAAAATGGTGCTTTCACTAAAGAAACCCTCCAACTGGAGAGCTGAGTGTAGTTTTAGAGGCAGTTTCTTCTCTCGCCATCTTTCATTTGACTTCTCCCTTGTCCTTTACCCATAGCAGCCTCCTCAGGGAGGTCACAGATGGAAGGAACACTGGAGGGGAGTAGGGCCCTTCAGCAACTTTATGTGTGCAATGGACTGATGCTGGAACTAACCCTTTCCCTGATACCTGAGTGATGCTCTCGACAGCCCTGTGAAGTAGTTGTATTATTGACTCCATTTCACAGATGAAGACACTGAGACTAGTGAGATGAAGTGATATTTTTCCACCTAAGGTTTAAGTGACACTGTCCTCAGATTCTAAATTCCATGCCCATGCTCCATACCACTTATTTCTGAGAACAAATCATGCCCCTTGAAAGAACGGGCTACTGTGGTTTTTGGTTTTATCGTGTTCTCAGATATTTTGTTGTTTTATTTTCCAATATTTTGTATTGGTTTCAGGTGTACAGCTTAGTGGTTAGACAATCACACACTTTACATAGTGTTCTCCTCAATATTTCTAGTACCCAGCTGCGTCCAACCATAGTTATTACAACGTTACTCACTGTATTTACTATGCTTTACCTCCCTGTGACTATTTTGGTGCATTTGTGTCTTAAGGTCCTTCCTGCGTGGTGCAGGGCCTGCCTATCAATGCATCAGATGTAGAATTAAGGATTCATAGTGCCCCACTCCCAATACCACCTCTCCTGGTATTGAAGAACACTCAGGGTTAATGGAAGGTACAGTAGCGTTCGGTGGAAACACATGCAGCTTTGGAATGAAGTGGACCTAGACTATCTCAAGGCTGCCAACGGTTAGGAGACTTAAATGAGAAAGATCAGGGCAGAAGATGAATTTATGCCACGTTCTATATTTTAACACGTGGTATTATTTCACCTCCTTGCGGAGGCTTTTTCTCCATAAAGAGTTTGTCTCTTCTTTGTTGGGCCCAGCCTTCCTAGCATTTCTATGGTTGGGTTTTATCTCTGTCACCTCATCTTTCTCCATTGTGGTTCCTTCCTTCTGGGGATGAACCAGGCCCCTCCCCTGAGGAAGCTGGGTTATTCCAGAGCCTTGTTTCTTTGGGCCCCTCTGACCCTTCATTTTGCTTGGGGGTCCCACTCTTTCTTCCTTCAGAGTTGTCTGATCTTTCAAGCCATCCTACCAGCAAGCTGTCTGTTCCCATTTCCCACCTCAGCTGGAACCTGATTTCCACACCAGCACGCGAGAACACATGAATCTAAAACCCGTGCCAAGATAAGGGTGAACGTCACAGGTTGAGGGACCAAAAAGCCCCTCATTGTTCAGGTGGGGTTCATGAAAGGACCGGCTTCTTGGATTTCCTTTAAATAAGCCTTTGACTCTTGATAGCTTCTTTCAGATTTTCCCAAGTTGTATATTTAGTGGGCTAGTGACCTCACCTCAGACTACTCAGTGCATTACAGAGGTGCGTTTAATATTGTCAATATTGACTTTAATGTCATTAAGCCAGACTTGACTGTGATGGAAATTAGTCACGGAAGTCATCATCTGATGTGTGTCAAAGGCAATTACGTGCTTATCAATAAACTCTTTAAAAATGAATCCCCGTACATGACACTTTCATTTTATTACAGGGAAGGGATGAGAGGGTGTCTAAGTCAATTACAAATGTTCTTTATATCATCTGTCATTTGGGTTCTCCCTGGCCTTACTAGCCGTGATCGGGTGTCCCATGGGATATGACTAGGCTGCGATTTTCTACCATCAGTTGGTGGAGCAGTTTTGTCAAGCAGCCAGTAGTTTTGTTTTTTAAAAAGCATCTTGTTACCAGGCTTTATAACTCTAAGGCCACTCTTTTCTTGAATGAATCAGTAAGTCTCAGCAAGATCCCATTATTGTCAGATGGCAAGTGGTTGAACAGGTTCCTTGGAATCAATTAATCGATAGGTCTTTGTGGAGTGCCCCCTAGGTGGTGAGCTTTGGGGGCTTCTGCATTAGGGTAAAATACTGTACAATGTGTTCATTCCTCTATGAGGGTGTTCTAGAGTGAGCTTAGCCCCCAGGGTGGCCGCACCTCAATGTGGTCCTTCTTCAGCTCTGGGCCTGCAGCCTGCTTTGCTGTTCTTGGTTTAGGCACTCTGAGAACAAAACCTACCAAGTAGCTCTTTTTCTTCTAGCTTCTCAGAAAAGAATACGTATCTCAGCCTATCAGCACATTTTTCTCCTGATAGAAAATTACCCATGGAAACCCGTGACCAAAACAGTTACCATTTAAACACACAAACAAAATAGAAACAGATTATATAGAGAACAAACTGACAGCTGTCGGGAAGTAGGGAGGGCTGGGCGAAGTAGGGAAAGGGCTTAAGCCAAAATGAAACAAAACAAAAGACTCCTAATAGACACAGACACCAGTATGGTGATTTCCAGAGGGAAAGGGGAATGGGGGCAGGGAGGAGAGGGGAAAGCAGGGATAAATGGTGATGGAAGGAGGCTAGAGTTTGGGTGGTGAATACACAAGACGGTATACATAGAATGTGCTATAGAACTGTGCACCTTAAACCTATATCATTTTATTAACCGATGCCACCCCAGTAAGTTTAATAAAAGTATTTTTCAAATAGTTACTATTTATTAAGGTCCTGCCATGTGTCAGGCTCTTCATGACATTATACTTTATTTCAGACTTACAGGAGGTCTGTAGAGGGAGGTGTTACGCTCATTTTGCAGGAGACAGTACTGAAGCTCAGCGGAGGGATAAGTGATTTGCCCAGTCAGGTGCAGAAGCTGGCGTACTTGGTGATTTCTCTTGGCTCCCTGACTCCTAGGTTCTCTATCCCACCTCAGATTATGGTTTCTTGGTTGTGTGATTTCCAAAGATAGGTTATTTAAACACAGTCTTCACGTGAGGTATATTGCACCAAAGCTCAATTTCAACATATTTGATATTTCCAATTTGCCACAATAGGTTTTGGATTTTTTTTAATATTTAAAGAAAATTTTAAGGTTTTTCATTTGTTTTTATAAAGAGGGGAAGGGGAGGGAAAGACGGAGGGAAACATCAATGTGTGGTTGCATCTCATGTGTCCCCCACTGGGGACCTGGCCTGCAACCCAGGTGTGTGCCCTGACTGGGAATCGAACCCATGATTCGCAGACCGGCACTCGATCCACTGATCCGCACCAGCCAGGGCCACAATAGGTTTTATTGCTTTTGAACTTGGGCTGGGTGTGTGTGAAGGAAGTGCTGGTGACATCATAAGAGTGGATGTAGAAGTAATTAGTCCTGAAATTCTACATTCCAGTCAGAAAATACAAAGGGCGTAATTTGTGACCTCCCTATGTTAACATTTCCAGTGCCTCCTGTTGACTCTTTGACTTTGCACAGGTAACCTCCTGGGAATGTTACCTGTTGTAATAAAATCTTGGTGCTCCTCAGCTAAAAATTGGTTTCTCGACTGTTGAACAAGAAATTCACTATTCATTTCACTATGAGGGAAAGTGAGACTTGGAGGATGAAGTAGTTTTATAAATTCCCACTGAACTAGGGGCATTCCGCTCTGCTTTTCACCTCGTAAAACTCATAATGCATCAGGCAAAGAGTCATTTGTTATTCAGCATTTCCACCTAGCTTTCCCTAAGTAATTTGCATTAAAATAGATTCATCTTAATGTTTGGATTTTCTTTTTACTTTCCTTTGCCTTAAATGTTTTCCCCGTGTGTCACATGGCTATGTGTGCTCAGCTTCTGTATTTTCTGATTGCTTTCTTAGCTACTACCTTGCCCTTGAAACTACAGCTTTCAGCCCTGGCTGGCTGGGTAGTTCAGTGGTTGGAGCACCGTCCTGTACATCAGAAGTTTGCAGGTTCCATCCCCGTTGGGGTGCATATGGGAGGCAGTCAGTCGATGTCCCTCTCTTTTTCTCTCTCGCTAAAATTAATAAACGTATGCTCAGGTGAGGATAAAAATGAAACTACAGCTTTCCTGCCTTCTTCATTTTGTATTGCCATTAACATGATGGTGTACAGAGCGCGGTATAAAGTCAGTTTTCAGGGACTTTTTTCCTGCAGAGATGATTATGCCTGTCCTGGTCACATAACGGTTTCTGACACGTCTCTAACCCAAGAGATAGGAGCATGGGAACCAGAGAGTTACTTTCGGTTTCATCACTTTTAGAAATGTGCTTTCTGCATACAGCTCTTCAGTACCAACCCATTCTTTCTTAGTTTGACTTCTGCTTATGTTTCTTCATTAAATATTATTTTCTTTTTCCCTCCAGTAAACGAAGGACCCCACTAACCAACAGACTGAGCTGCCCTTTTCTCAGTCTGTATCCTTACCTGTTTGACACACCAGTGCTCCCGGAGACTGCTCTCCTTTGACCTTAGGGACATGACGTTCTCTTCGTTTTATGCTTCTGTTTCTGTTGGTTGCTCTTCGATTGCCTTTGTTGAGTTTACTTTGGAGGTGGGGCCTCTGCTAGGTGATGAGTTAATGAGGGTAGAGCTCTCTTGAATGAGATTAGTGCCCTTGTAAAATGAGTCTAACAGGCGAACCTCATTGCCGCAGCCATTCCCCACTCTGCTCAGCATAGGCAGCCTTGATTTTTAGCTGAACACTCTCCTGAACTCTAGTTGTTCATGTCCTGCTCCTAGCCGGGCATCTCTGCTTGCATGTCCTACCATCCCTTTTGTCTTAGTCATCTTGGGCTGCTGTATACCGTAGACTGGGTGGCTTAAACAACTTATTTTTCACTGTTCTGGAAGCTCTGAAGTCCAAAATCGAGGTGCTGGCACATCCGGTGTCAGGTGAGTACCCACACTCTGGCTTGTGGATGGTTGCCTTGGCCCAGAGCGGGATCGCCACTCTCATCCCATCTTATAAGGGGCACGAGTCTTATTTGTGAGAGCTCTGCCCTCAAGACCCAATTAGCTATCTAGGGCCCTGGCTCCAGGTACCATCACATCAGGCATTAGGGACTTCAACATCTGAGTTTGGGAGGGACAAAACACTCAGTCCCTAATACTTTTAAACTCAAAATCGAACATTTTCACCCTAGACCAGTCATACCATCTCATCCACTTCCCGATTCCATCCAGAGGGCCACAGTCTCATGCAGAATGACAGCAGGGTACACTTCAGTTTTTGAAAGTTCTTGCTTCATAATTGCCCTGTCTTTTCCTTCTTCGCACCCACGTCGTCCTGGTTTAGGCCTTTCTGCCTCAGGCCTGTGCTGTTGTTGGTTCCCTGCTGGATTTCTCCAGCATCCCAGGTCGTCCTTCCTTCCGATTCACTTTGTAAAGTGCTGCTGGAAAACCTTTCCTGAGCATTCCTTTGCACCATTCACCTTTCTCTCAAGTTCAGGATAGAGATGTAAAGGCTGACAGACTTAACCCTTCACTGCCCTACTCATTTCTCTATACTCTGGACGATTCCTCTCCAGGCTCGGTACCCACCCTGCCTCCACAGGGTCCCCAGCTTGGCTCACAAAGGTACCTCTAGAGACCAAAGTGCTTATTGTTCTCATCACAATATTATTCACATGTCTAGAATATAGCTCTACACTCATTTTCACTTTTCTTCACTATTCTTCAGAGCCCAGTGTGGGACCAGCCTTTTCCAAAAGTCTTACCCACCTGGCCCTAAATTATCACATAGGTTCATAGAGGTCTATAACTTAGGGTAACTATGTAATGTATCATCCAGACCAGGACACTTTCTATTAATTAATTAATGTTAATATTTTTGAAATTTACTGGGGAAGACCAGGACACTTTTGAGAGGGAAAGAGAGTATCATCATTAATAAAGCCAGGACAACAGGAATATACCAGGACTTCCTTGGAAACTAGGACAGATATCGTCTTGTCTATAGCCAATGTGTTTTGTTTCTATTTTCCATTTAGTACCTTGTATTATTGTTGATGCTCTTGTAAGAAGTCTCTGTGTGGCAAGAAATTTTAAAACGTACAATACCTGATTCGTCAGGGGCACTGACTTCTTTTCTATCAGATTGTCAAATAAAAAAAATAACGACAGCCAACGCAGCAATAGCCATCCAGTGTGAATACCCTGTCTTGAACCATAAATACATAAGTCATATGATGGAGTTGCATCTTATTGGTCACATCATAGGAAAAGGTTGTATCTGATTGGTTCATTTTTGGTACCAGCAATCCTTATATATAAACATAGGCACCTGATTCTTTTAAAAGGGACTTTGGAATAAAAAGGATAGGTAATTACTATTATTATTATGTTTTGTACATCAAACGAAATTATACCTATTTTTTGTCAGATTGGCAAAAATATGTTTTGGGGTGTGCTGTAGAATTTTAGTAATTAGCTTATGTGTGTCATGAGATGAAAAAGGCTGAAAATCACTGCTCTGAGCAGTTACATTATTTCTCATACTTCCTCACGTTCCCAGAACCTACCATTTTGCCATATGTTTTAGTAAATACCAAGTTCTGTTCATTCATTAGAATGCTGGTAGGAATTGTTACTTAGCAATTTTTACCTTATGAAGAGGTTTTCCCAAAGAAATTTAGTGTTTCTTTTTTTCCCTGTCTAACTTAGCTTATTGACATGTGCGTGCAGAACTGCGGTCCAAGCTTCCAGTCTCTCATTGTGAAGAAGGAGTTCATTAAAGATAGCCTCGTTAAGCTGCTGAATCCCAAATACAACTTGCCATTAAACATTCAGAATAGAATTTTGAATTTTATTAAGGTAAGTGTCTTATATGCCTTAGGGGGTACAGAATTCTATGATTAGATGTTTAATTACATACCAGTTGATTTAGTGATCTTCTATAAACCTATGATTGAGCCAGAAAGCATTTTACTGCTTTATTTTCTGTATAATAATAATTTTTTGTCATTGGGTGGTGCCTTTTTTCCCTAAAGAATTTGTAGTCATTTTCCTACTTTCTCTTCATTTCTATTTTATCCATGTCAGATAAGAAAGACAGTGATGTGTACATTCATTTTGTGGATATGAAATTATATCTAAAGTAGATAATTGACTACTTTCAAAGTTATTTGACAAAAGAGCTCCTGATGCTGTTTTAGAATATGTCTATTCATTCTGGATTTGGTACAACAAAAAACGATGAATAGTATCTTCTATTCCAGGGTTTCATTAAAATGTTGAGGCATGGGAGTCTGATCATTAAAAATATTTTGTTATTATTCTAGTCTCTGAATATGTACAGTTTGTCCTTGGCATTCAAAAGGAGCTTTGTCTTTCAGAGTAAGGTCCATAATCGTCAATCTCTCATTTCCTGTCTACCAGCTTAAGAACCGTTTTGTTTTTGCTGTTATTTTCAGACTTGGTCGCAGGGTTTCCCAGGAGGTGTGGATGTAAGTGAAGTGAAAGAAGTGTACCTGGACCTGCTTAAGAAAGGTGTTTACTTTCCTCCCTCGGATGCAGAGGCTGAAACAGCAGAACAAGAGGTAGGAGGTCTCTTGCTTGATTCATGTAAAGTCAGTATAGTACATGGATCTTTTCTCATTGAAAGGGAAAGTCCTAGCTCTATTCAACATAAGCAACAAGATGAATTTACTAGAAGGATATAGCGGTCTCTCCTATAATAACTAAGCCACAAGAACGTTGGTGTCTGTTGGATCTTTCGAACGACCAGGAACCAAGCACTCAAACGCCTTGTTACTTGTCTACTTATATATGGTTATCGGTTTCATTCCTCTCTCTCTCTGTAGACCAGCTTCTTCCACAGAGTCAATAACAGAGCTTCCAAATTTTCATGTGATAGCTTTAGTATTTTCAGATTCCAAGTCAAAAAACCTGGGAGAATGAAACTCCCGGTACCGGTCTGGGTCCATTTTCTATTTCTGCACATGTCAACTGAAGTCATGCAAGAATATGTTATAATGACTCCGCGTAGAAACCATTTGGCTGTAGTAGAGGAGGGGGAAGCTTTCAAAAAGATTGGTGCCAGACGAGGGTGTTTTCCTTAGGCAGTCATATAATCTACTTGTCGTTTATTATTAATATTGTGTCTGAGAGAGTGTCTAGATAGTCACATGTATTCTCACATTTGCAAATAATTTTTAAGGTTGTGACCTATGACACTTTGAGTGGCTGATTATAACTCACCTCCTAACTTTCTGTGATTTCTATAATGAAAAAGCAGTAGGTCCTTCCTTCTGTAGTTGGTGAGTCCTGGTGGCATCAGCAATACCAGAAGTCTTCGTGGAGGCTTGGTCCTGAGGGCTAGCCTCTACCTGTGTGGCCATTTGCCTTCTGTCCCCATTCTTTTATCTGCCCATGGGCCCACTCACCCTATCCCTATAGGTCTTTCTTCCAAGGCACAGTGTAGGAATAGTATGGAATCTTGCTACTTACTCAGAGTGTGATTTGGGGTAGAATCTTTAGTCTCTCCTGGACTAAATCAGAATCTCACTTTTGCAAGATTTCCAGGTGACGTTTTTTTGCACATTCACATTGAAAAACACTGGCCTCCAGCCGTATGCTTGGGCTCTCTGCCGAAGGATGGAAATGGAGCATTTACTCAGGGAGGTGTTCACTGTGGAAAAGGAGATGCTTTGCTAGCTGTGGCTTAAAGAGGCTGGACACAAATTGATTTATTATTTGTTTTTAACAACCCAGAAAGAGGGCAGCTGTAATCTCACATGGCAGTTTGTCTTGGAGACATTTGGTAAAAAAAAAAATACTAAGAGGATTCTATTAAATTATAAACCGGTTAATAATCATAATAGCCACCTTTTATTGACTACATGCTCTATGATGGGCACACCATTTGCTTATTAGTACTGTTCTCAAAATGCCGGGCAGGTTAGACGCTTGACGACGTACTCTGGGCTAACACCCTTTCACCTGGACTGTGGTTGGGAGAAAGTGATTGAGTCATCTGAATGGAAAAACCTGGGTTTGGGGTGTTAAAGTTAATAAATATTAAATAATATTTCCATATTTCCTACTGATAGACGACTCAGATCTTGGCAAACCCACCAACATGTGTTCCTACTGCACCAGCTCTTTCCTCTGTGATTGCTCCCAAGAACATGACTATTACATTGGTCCCAGAACAGGTAACAAGAGCAACAGCTGACTTTATTGATGACTTTTTCTGAGTTCTAAGCAGTTTGTATGCAGTTTATTCTTTTTAACGGTGTTATGAGGTGGGGTTTGCACGGTTATCCTCATTTTGCAGGGGAGGGGCCTGGTGCTTAGTGACAGCGTGGGATTTACAGTGGTTCAATTCTAAGGGAACTTAATCCCACGGATACTGTCTGATCCTAGAGCCTGAGCTCTTAACAATTCTGCTTGGCTAGTGGTTTTCGTGTGTTTGTGGAGGTTGGGCTGGGAAATGGATCTTGTGTCAACTAGCTGATATTTATTGTTTTTGTTACTACTGTCCAAACACTCTTTCAGAAACCTCAGTAAGTGGTAGCCTTGTTACTAGTGTTCGTTGTGCTAACTGAACTACATTTACTTGTCTGTCTATATCCATTTATGGGTCCAGATGAGCAATTATTATACAGGGCTGGGCAAAAGTAAGTCAATGGTTCTTCCTATAGAAAATAATAGTCATTCATAAATAATAATGCAATGAACGCTGTGTTTCATTCACATACTCACAACTGTATGCCTGCTTTTGCTCCACCTTCTGTGAAGGTCTTTTCTGTCCTCCTTTAAGGAAACGGTCATTGAAAACTTTGTAGTAGTATTATTCTGCATTATATAAAAATCCATGCAGTTAATTTCTCTTAGAACTTAATCCAGGAAGAAAAAAAAGTGTTTCTCTCTTGATCATTCCTTCCCTAATACCATGAGAACTGTAACACTTTGGATTATTTATTTTTTCCCCCATCGGTTGCCAAGAAACCCAGGTTAACACTTTCTGTTTTGTCCGGTCCTTTTATAGTCACCTTCCCCTTCTCCATATGGTACCTAGTCTGATTTTCCTACCTTTATTTTTAATGTCCTAAAGCATATTTTTGGATTTATTACAAGAGAACTTTAAGTCCTTTTAGGTGATGGATTACACATTTGTAAAATGTGAAAGTATATTTTTTAGTCATTAAAATATACATTTGAAAATGTTAAAATTTTACAAACACATGTTCTCTTCTAGTAAGTGTCCCCTAAGAGAAGGAAACAATGTAGCCATTCCTGGTGTGTCGCGTGTACTGACTGGTGACTGTGTTGCTCCCTGCAGATTGGAAAATTGCTCAGCGAGTTGGACATGGTGAAGATGAATGTGAGGGTGATGTCCGCCATATTGATGGAGACTATTCCAGGATCCGAAAACCGGGAAGATCTCGAGCTTCTGCAGGTGCAATATGAGTTCAGGGCCCATCGATTCAAGTGTCTTCTAAAAATCATTCTCTGAACTTAGCGCCTTAGAGGTGGAAGACACCTTAACACTGTCTGTCTCATCCATCCTTCTGCATTCTCAATGGATTTCTAAACTTAGCAAAAAAAAAAAAAACGCACCCTTGCCTATTATATTTCAGAAATATAATAGTAATTTAGACATGCTCCTTGCCCTTTTGCAACAAATAATTTACCTTATTTAACCATTAATAGCCTGGCTTATGTACAACCACTTATTAGTCTCTAATAGTGTTAAATGTGTAAAAGTTGCTTCTATATTCAGCCATTCAACAAACACTGAGTAACTACAGTGGTAAAGGACTCAGAAATGAGGAGGCTGCCCTAGGCCTCAGGGAACTTATGGCTAATGAACACAGTGGTTTTATAAGCCACAGTTTGATGAGATGTTATAGATGCTGGGATAGAAGTATGTTTCTCACACAGTGGGATGAGGATTGGGAGCAAGGATTTGCTCCCAAATCCCAAGTGGGATGAGGGTTGGCAGGAAGGAGAAAGGTGGGGTTTTGGGACAGGTTCAGAGGCAGGCAGTACTCAGGCTGGAGGAAAACGTGGCCAGTACACTTGACCCGTATGAGCAGGTAAGGACACTATAGCACTTAGTTCATTGTTACTGTGGTGACGGCTCTCTCAGACCTTTTGCAAAGTGTCTGTAAATCCATGCCCTTCACCTTTCCCTCTCATAGTTGGTTCTCATTATCAGTTTTAAGTTTGAACATACCTTTTACCATACTAATTGTAGAAGCAGAAAAAAGTCAGTTTATAAATCTCTTTTCCCTAGTAAGTTAAGAACTTTATTGTATTTCTACTTTTCTCAGATTCCAATTCAATTTTGCTTTGTTATCTTTCCTTGAATTTCTTAGATGGTTAGTAAATAACATTTTTCTCAATCGTTGCTTCTTAAGAAAACAAATTGTAAAAAATTTCCTTACTGAACAGTGCTTCTAGTTTCTTCATGGATATACTTCCTCCTTTTATCTTTCCAAGGATGGGAATTATTTGTAAAGGTGCTCTTCCGTATTCTCTATGGATTCTCCTCTTTTGGGTGCAGAGTCGTTTGTTCATTACCTCTTTCACTTGCATTCCTCAAATATCTGGCTATATTGCTGACTGTGAGCTCATTTTTGCTTGAGATTCACTGGCAGCTGGTCTGCATTCTCTGTGACTCAGTTCTCGCATAGCGAGAGGAAAATGCACTTGCTACAACTTGTGTTTGATGCTGTTTTCCAAGTGTGTAGGGTTGGCGTTGGGTGATGTTGAGTGGATTAGCTTGGCAGCTGCTTTTCTGAGTCGTATGCTTCCTACTTTTCCAGCATGCTGGAAATAGTACTCATGTTTTTATCTCAAGCATTGCCCCTGCCTCTCTACTAGCTGCCCCTCATGCCGTCCTGTCCTGCTTCCACTGTCTCCAGGCACAGAGCTTCCTTCCTTTCCCTTCCACATTCTGCAGCAGAGAGCATTGTGCACTGTCTTGAATGTCCTCTTAGCCCGGAATCAGCAAATAGGCCAGTGGGCCACATGCAGGCCTGTCTGTTTTTGTGTTGTCGGTGAACTCAAAATACTTTTTGCATTTATAAAGGGTTATTTAAAGAGATAGAGATAGATGGGGGGGCATTTCTCAAGCTATATTTTTGCACACCGACCTCCAGAGACCCCTTGGGAGTAAGCTGTACCTCTTAAGGAACAGCTCACCACCTCCTCCCATTATTAATGGATTTGAGTTTGTGATATCTCCCAAGCACACAGGGATGAGAAGAAGATATAAAAGCACAGCTTGGAAGTGTGAAGTTCCTGGTGAAGGGTGCTAAGACTGGTCTGTGCAGGCCATTGAGGGCCATGCCAGAGTGGGCTTAACCCACATGGCAGAAGGGAGCATTCCGAAGGACTGTGTAGCCAGATAGAGTCTTAGAAAGATTCCTCTGGTGACAGTGACATGATACATGCTGGGGAAACAAGAAAATTGTCTAGGGACCAGTTTAAGACAGCATTTCCTGTTTGTCTTCTGCTTTATTCTAATGGGGAAATGACATCTGTGGTTAAATAGTTTACACAACCAATTGCCAATGGTATTCCCCCTCTTGGAGGTTCATAAAACCCATTTGTATAGTAGAGGCTTTAAGAGTCTGTGTTTAATCCAACACTTACAAACTGATTTAACCAAAGACCCTTATTTGTGGAGTATCTATTTGTTAATATCCAACAACACATCAGAGTAATGTACCTTGAGAGAAACAAATCAGTGTTTTTTTTAAATCCGTGGCATTAAGTGTATGACTTTTAGAGTATTTTACTTAGGAACAGTATGTAATTTTGCTTGGGGTTCTTGGCCTTGGGCAAGTCATTTACAGTCACTGGACTTCGTTTACATATATGTAAAAGGAAGCATTAAGATGATTCTTAATAAACAAAAATGATATCCTATTTGCATAGGTTAAAACGAATGATTAGAGTTGTGCTATCACATCCTTTTAAAAATATCCACAGTGGAAGGCTTTTGCAGATATAAACGCTTTGTGACTCGGGATGTTTAACAAGCGTGTTAAGCTAAAATGTAAAATTAAATATCCAAGTAAAAGGGTATGTGACGTAATTTTCAAAAATAGCCACACTTCATTTAAATATGTGAGTCCAGTTTTATATTTCAGGCCGCCCTGGAGTGCAGGGCACTGCCTCTCTGTGTCAGCCTTTGGGTGCAGAGGTTTGATTGAGTTTTTCAAAGATAATGCTAATCTGTTGGTTGCTGTTTTGATGCTGGAGCTTAGGGCTGTGTGTTGCCTGGAATAGTAAAGAGACTTGGGTTCTAAATCAGCTTCAGAACACTACTCAGGGCCAGTTCAAGTTGAATGGGTTCTGGCATCAGATCAGCTTCTTAACACAGCCTATTGAATATGCAAGTTTATTTTTTTTTCTTTGCTTTCCGTTAAAAACACGTGGAAATCTGGTATGGGGAGTGCTATTTTTAAATTCTCTTGACGGATATTTGATTTTTTTTTTTTTTTTGGTAATCTAAATGACCTTATAGAGAAAACTATTTCTCTCCTCACAGCCCCTGGGACACCTTTGTGTGAGGTGTGTTCCCCTCACTTAAACAATTCTGACGCTGTCTAGAGTTGGCACAGACCCCACAGATTAAGGGCTCAGTTCTACAAGGTTGCCCCCCCACTTCAGATACCAGTCACAAGTAGCAGGCCTCCAGATTACTCACACCTGTCTCATTGGGCTACAAAATCAGGGGTTCCCACAACCCCCTCCTCTGGCTTAATACTTCGCTAGAATGGCTCCCAGTATCCAGAGAAATACTTTACCTGCTATTACTGGTTTGTTATAAAGGGGGCAAATGAATAGCCAGATGAAGAAGTGCATAGGGGTAGGTCCAGAATGGTCAGGAGCTTCTGTCCCCATAGAATTGGGGTTTACCGCCCTCCCGGAACGTGGATGTGCTCACTGACTCAGAACCTCTCAGAACCCCTTCATTTAGACTTTTGGGGAGGAGATTCCATTATGTAGGTGGCACGGTCAATTTGGTCATTGCCATAGGTGGTTAAAGCAGCCCCCAGCCCCTCTCCTCTCCCTGGAGGTCAGGGAGGGGGTGAAAGTTCCCTCCTCTAATCACAGGGTTGGTCTCTCTTGGCAGCAAGCCCCTATCTTCCAAGAGTTGCATCATTAGCATAAACTCTGGTAGGCTCGGAGCTTATTATGAATGACGAAAGATGCTCCTCACCCCTAACACTCAGGAAATGTCAAGTTTAGACTTTCTGTGCTAGGAACTGGAGTGGGAGACCAAATCTGTATTTCTTACTAGATCACACTCTCACATCTCACTATGGTCAGTCTGAAAGCATTGGTGAAATCTTCTATGGAGAGAGAGGACAAGGAGCCTACAAGGGCATTACAGATGAAGGCAGCAGAGACAGACTATGGAGAAACAGCAGTTCTTTAGTACTTTTCCAAGGGTCTTCTCACACCTGTCTGAACCTCCAGATAAAGCTCCATCCCAGCCTGGCCTCCCACATGTAACCAAGGGGGCTTTTGGAGGCTTTGGCCTGAGCTTGGCTGGGACATCAAGGTGGAAGGCAGTGAGGCATCCCTGGCAGTGAGCATCCCAAGGGCATATTCTGAGGGTAGGGGTGCACCTATGAAGAAGTCATACAAGTATCTGAAACCAACCTTGTGAGTTGTGAAACAGACATCTATTTCTTTTTCCAAAACCAGTTAAACTCCACGGTGGTTTTTTTAATCTCAGTAAAATAGTAAACCTATCTCCTCTTTGTTACCCACATCCCATTGAAATGATACAAGACACATGAAAATTAAGAATAAACTCTCCTGGATTGCAGAAGAGCATCAGGAGCATCAGAAGACCAGAACAGTGAGAAGATTCGGTAGCCAATAGCGTAGGTGGGATCAGACTAATGGAGGAACCCACAGCCTCACCCAGGCCGAAGGGACCCTTCCCAAGTGACCTTCCCCAGAGAAAGCCATACAGAACTCAAGGTCGGAGTAAAATGGATGGATTTTGAATACACGCGAGGAGAAGAAAACAGCTGCTAATTTGAGGAGTGGGGAGTTACTGGTATGGCTCTCGTTGGCCAAAGAATGTCTGGCCTATAGAAAAGCTTTATAAGAGTTTATTTGAGGCAAAATTTTAAAGATATGCCCAGAAACAAAACCTGAACAGATCGAGAATGAGAAAATGCTTCAGAGAATGGCAGTTTTCCTGTTTCTTCTCTGCATTTAGAATTGTAAGGAAGATACATGAAATGCATTGATGGTGGATTAACGAGGTGGGGAAAAAAAGCACAGCAGGGAAATCAGAGAAACAATTCTTTTACGTCTGTGGGTACCAGGTAGTTAATAATTAACAGTCACAGGATACAGAGCTGGTATTTGGGAAACAAGACAACAATGGAGGGTTCTTTGGTCTGTGGCTCTGGTACCTGC